TCTGGTTATGATCTAGGCTGGAAATGGGTTAAAGATTCCTCCCACCCCCAAACCTATGTTCAAAGCCTTTCCAGCTTTATAGACTCTTCTACAATTCATTCTCTCTTCATTCACTTCCATGTTTCAATGAAGCATCAGGGTAAGGCTTGAAGTGGATACTTACTTCCATTGCTCATGATTTCACAGTAGTAGGAAATATGAAAACTTCAATATCACTAAGATTTAGTCCTTGGTACTGGCTTAAAATTTAAAATACTAAACAAAATAGAAGAAGCCTACTTTATATTTGATTTTGCAACTGATATTTATTTCACCTCTTGTAAGAAAAGATTCATGTCGTAATTTCTTAATCTACCACCTATTTTATTCTCCAAATACGATGGGCCCTTTAGATTATCTCAGTTTACTTTTGCAACATTCATATACACATTCCTCTCTGGGTGCCCCAATCTATTTTTCCATCACTTGAATGTCCACAATTTTTACCCAATTTCAGAAATGTTTGGCAGTATCGTTATGGTTAGTTGAGATAGTATGCCTGAAGAAGGAGTAATATTCCTATGTGTCTTCCTAAGTTGTGCATTGTACTTTTTACTGACAAGTATCACAATACAAGGGATATCTTTTAAAGTCCTTCAAGAGCTGATGGTTAAGAAGAATGAGCATTAATAATTTGTTCCAGAGATGGGACACCTCTGTTAGTTCATTTAATTCAAGTATGGCCAGAAAAAGATGGCATGTTTGAACTCTGGAGACTAGTCTAGCTAAGAGTGGAGAAATTCATTTCCAGAGGGCTGACCACTGGATAATTAATATCTTGATGGTGGTAACCTTTGAAGACCATTAACTAAGGCATTGAGGGGTGGGGGTGAGGCAGATTTTGATCTCTATTGGTAGAATGAAACTATAGTGATAAAATCACTGATCTTTTGAAAAAGAAAAAAATCATAACATGTTTCAGGATTCTAAGGTCATACTTTGTTAAAACTTTGCAAACAGGACTAATTTTAAGTAATAAATGAAAGATTAGTCTGAACTCTTGAAATTCATTTTAACTCAATAGACATCAATTACCTATTTTATTCAAGACCCTGTACTAGGAACAATTAGAGGACAAGGGCTCTGCTCTCAAACAACTTTGACTGAAAAGACATTTACAAATAACTATGACATAAGGGGAAATGTGACAATTGCAAAGGGTATGTTCAGGCAGAGTTGTATGAAAAATTTGAGTAGACAAATCATTTTTATCTGGAGGTAGGGTGGGGAAAGATGGGCAGGAAGGGTTTGATGATGGAGGTGACACCTGTGAAAGAAGGGGACAGCACATGGGGACAGAGAGTAAGCTATTTAGAGGCAGTTTGGAGGAGGGTACAGAAAGGCATCCCTTCTACAATGAGACTTTTCTCATGTTGGTTTTAATATATCTCGGGTCGGCATAAGAAATTAAATGGGATTTTGGGGGGAATTTTGAGGAAGTTGTAGACAACACTGAAAGGCCAGCAGGTGACACAGAGTCTATAACCAAATACTTAACCCAAATTTTATACTAGGGTAATGTAAACACCCCATAAGAAGAAAAAATTCAGACTTCCTTTCTGGTATGAAGAGAGGGCCAAAAAAATTTTATGAAGTTTTTCCAGATCACAGGGGCACCACGCCCCTAAAACCCTACTATGTGTAAGGGATAACTGTCCATCTGTTGGCCTCAATTGTCTCAGTAAAGTAGGAGGTGAGATCACCTTTTGGGATTGAAGGTAAAGGGGGTAGAGTTGAGTGTTTGAAGACAGAAGAGAATATTTTAAACAACCGTTGTGAAGAATGTGATAGTTCCCTCGGAGATGGAAAGTGTAGCTAAAGCTAGCATAAATACTTCCTTAAGAGTTGTGATTCCCTTCAGGAGAATCACAGAATTACGGAGTTGGAAGGTACTTCAGTGCCCTTCTAATCCAACCTATACTTGAAAAAGAATCCTCTTCACAATTATCTGTTAAGTGGTTATCCCATCGTTTTTCTGAATATCATAAATGTGAGAGAACTCTCCACCTCTTTAAGAAGCCGATTTTACTTTTGTTTAGCTGCACCTAGTGGGAAGTAGAATTCAGCCACTCAAGAGTAGGAGCAGAAGAGTCAGATGGTCCCAGTTAACCAGGGTTGAGGGTGGGGTTTGAGGGTATGGAGCAGGAATTATAGAAATTAAGGGATTGAAGGATGGAGGAAGAGGTAAATCAACATGGGATAATGAAAAACCAACTATAATCAGTAGATGTAGTTTCAAGTTCTAAACCTGCTACATATTACTTGGATGACTTTGGACAATTGCCTCTGAGCTTCAGTTTCCTCATCTGAAAAATAGCAGGTTTGGGCTTGATCTATTCCAGCTAATCTCCCTCAACATTCTACAATTAGACCAAGACTGGCATGCCACAGCCTGGGAAGATAGAAAAGAATTCTTGAACTCAAGATTGTGATGATTAAGGGGAATACCAGGAATAGGAAGAGTGAGTGAATGGAAAAAAGGAGAGGGACAAAATCAGAATTATAAAATAACTTAAAAGCAATACAACTTTATTATTTCCAAGTTCATTTAGTAATATGAGGAGCCAAAGATTAACAAAACATTCCCAGTTATAGATCTTGTTGATCTGCCTTTAACACAAAATAAGAATATAATACAGTTTATAGTAATACTATCTTATTAATTCCTTGCTTATACAGGACTATAAAATTTTCTTTAAAAATGTTCTTAATATTTTGTGAAAATACTTCTGTTCCTTCCCTACCCATATAGCTATCCCTTGCAACAAAGAATAAAAAAGAAAGAGGAAAAAAAGAAGCAGTTCAGCAAAGTAAATCAATATATCAACTGAGTCTGACAGCATATGTCATTTTTCACTTCCATAGCCCTTCACCTTAGTAAAGAAGGGAAGAGAGTACAATTTCTCATCTCTTCTTCAGACTCAAGCTTAATCATTATAATTACAGAGCATTCAGGTTTTTTTTCCCCTATTTACATTGTAGTCATTGTATATATTAGTGTCACAGTGCCATTTGCTTCATTTTCCTCCATGCTTCTCTGTATTCTTCATAGTCACAATTACTTATGGTGCAACAATAAATCATTACATTCATGCACAATTTGTTTAGTCATTCCCCAATTTATGTCCATCTAAGTGTGGATGTCTTTGTTTCCAAGTCTTTTAAAACTGCAGAGTGCTGTTATGCATTTTCTGTTGTACATGGGACCTTTCTGTCTTTGATACCTGTGAGTATATATCTAATAGTGGGACCTCTGGGCCAAAAGGTCTTTCCAGTCAAAGTTCTCTGAGAGCAGAGCCCTAGTCCTCTAATTGTGCCTAGTACAGGGTCTTGAATAAAGGGACAAAAAAAGAGACAAAATGACCTCTTAGTCATTTTCTTAGTATAATCCCAAATTTCTTTCCTGAATGATTGGGCTAATTCACAGCTTCTCCAACAACATATTAGTTTGCCTATCTTTCCATAGTCCCTCCAACATTGACTATTTCTATCTTTTGCCATTTTTGCCAATTTTGTGGGTGTGAGGTAAAACCTTGGAGGCATTTTGATTTTCATTTCTTTTATTATTAGTGTTTTGGAGTGATCTTTTTTATGGTAAATAGTTTGCAAGTCTTTTTTGAACTGTTTGTTCATATTCTTTAAGCATTGATCCACTGAGGAATAAGACCTTTTGGTCTTATAGACCAATATATCTTGATATCAGATGCTTATCAGGGATATTTAATTCATTTTTTCTCAGCCAATAACATCTCTTCTTAATCTGGTTGCATTAATTTTGTTCATGAAATTGTTGAAGTGACTTGCCCAGGATCACACAACTAATAAATGTCTGAGACAGAAACTAATCCAAGTATTCTTGACTCCAAGCACAATGCTCATTAATTAAGTTACACATTGCCTCCATTAGCCTTAATCAATGAGGCTTTGATGTATGCAGTTTTATAGCCCTTTGTATGAACTTCAAGTCAGAAGCCCTATTTTCAGTTTAGGGTCTTATTTCTCCAATACTTTCTAGTTGTGCCAGTGTGGGTGCTGGAGCTTTGGCTCAGGAGCCTTAACATCCTCATTTGTATGGTGGCCATAGCAATACTTGCATTATTTTACCTCCCAGTATGACTGTAAACAAAGTGCTTCATAACCACCATAGTGCTAGATAAGTGTGCATTTTCACCACAATTTTCTTTGCTTTGCCTGTTTGTATAGAGCACCACCAAGAATTCGTTTTACTTAATTTGCTTTGGGAGGCCAGAGGCTCAGTGAGGAATGTGAAATGAGGGACATGTTCAGGGTTGGCACTGTTCGTCACGATAACTGAAAAGGAATCAAATAATTATGTAACTAAACTAAACTTAGGTCTCAAAGAGTGTAATGTTTAAAATAAAAGCCTCAGTTTTTCTTCACATTGTGTTCCAGTGGAGACAGATAGTTGTGAGTAAGGATAATTTTGACACAAAACATTTCACTACAGACTCTGTAGCACTGATGCCTCCAGTCAGTGGGGAAGTGATGTCAACATTCTCTCAAGCCATAAAGCTATTTCTAATGTGCTGAACAATCACTGAAGAGATTATTGTCCCTATGTCGTCCTATGCAACCAAAGGAGATCGGGCTGTCACTTAAACAAAGTGATCCTATATAAAAGTAAAGTTTATTCTATTGAACTAAAAGTATAAAAAGCAATGAGCAGCTAGGTGGCATTGTGGATGTTGTGCCAGGCCTGGAATCAGGAAGACCTGAGTTCAAATGCGCCCTCAGACACTTAACTAGCTGTGTGACCATTGGCAAATCATTTAACCCTGTTTGCCTCAGTTTTCTCATCTGTAAAATGATCTAGAGAAGGAAATGGAAAACTGCTCCAGTATCTTTGCCAAGAAAACCTCAGATGGGGTCAGAAAGAGTTGGTCACAACTGAACAACAGTAACAACAAATAAAAAGCAATAAAACACATTTTCAAATGATGAAATTTTGACATGAAATTGAAGCATTTAATCTTCTGCACAACCCATTTAATAAAAGCATACCCAGGCAATGCAAATATTATTGATATTATCTATAAAGATGACATTTTCATCTAATATCACAAATTAAATATTTTCTCCTTTGAGTTTTTTTTAACTTGTTGGTAATATCCACTGCTGACACAATTTCCCAGAAATATTCATGGGAGAATTTTCCCATGAAGTAACAGAACTACAGAACTCTGATCTGTGTCTGAATACTCATAGCTCTGTCAGAGATTCTGTCACACATTGCTCTACAGAACCCATAAATTCTTCCATAATATAATTTCTGTTATCATATTGTAAATACAGTCTTAAAGGTGTACATATGGTTAATACACTAAACATACTTAGTCAAGTAAGGAAGGAAGTGGAACTCATCAGAATGTTTTGACATCATAATGCCAGCTCTAAAACTGGACTATATTGTTTTTTGGCTGGACTGACCAGATGTCTTGGCATCATGGAATGAAAGCACACCCCGCCTAATATGGAAGCATGTTTAAAAAAATAAAACAAGGAGAAAAACATAATTTCATTTCCAGAAATAAAAACAAAAAAGGAGGTGGGGCAGAAGGGAAAGACATTGCTATTTTGGGGCAAACATCTTTTTCCTCTCTCTCCTTTTTTTTTTTTTAACATCTTAGCTTATACCTAAAGGAAACATCTGATTGAGGAGTCTGAATACCAAAGAACATTCGGGAATTTTTGAATTGTTGGGATTTGTCTTCAATTAATTCTACATCAAAATACGAAAACAAGAGAATTACCAACTGCTTTATCTGAAGCACTGCTAAGAATCGGCCGGGACATTTGCTGATTCCAGATCCAAATGGTATTAGGAAATATGGCAGCTCTTGGCCCCTTTTGAAAAAGGTAGTTTTCTTCTTGCCATCTTCTACAAAACGATCAAACTTAAACTCCTATAAAAAACAATTGAGATTGTCAGAATTAGTTAAGTTACATGAAATGTTTTTCATTTAATTTGATTGTAAGTTTTTCTCTTTCTGATTTCATAATCTTTCCTAAAATTCTATCCACTTCAAGAAGTCAAACTTGAGTAACTATAAGCAAAGTGAAGCTTCCCATGTAACTAACTCAATCACTACTAGCAAATTAGTCCTCACACACCAAATGGAAAAGAAAAATGTCCATGAGCCTCACCATTTTCTATTATTGTTGTTATTGTTACTATTATTATTAGCCAGAATTTATATAGTGCGTTAACATTTGCAAACAACTTTACATTTATTATCTTATTTGACCCTCCCAACAACCCTAAGGAATAAGAACTCTCATTATCCCTATTTTACAGGTGAAGATACTATGGTTGATAGAGGTTAAGTGACCTTCCCAAGGCCATATAGCTAGTTGACAACTAACAGAGGAGTCAAACTCAGATCATCCTGGCTCCAAGTTCATCACCCTGCCACCTTGTGACCATATGCTTTGTGTATGTTATATCTGGGAAATTCTATACTTAAGAAAACTAAATATAAGAATTACTCATATATACATAGGTATTTACCCCTGCATGTATATGCATATGTACATGTATATATACACATATATGTATATGTGTTTATATGTTTGTATAGATTGATGGACAGATGATTATAAATAAGCTCCCTCACCACTGCCTCCACCACGGGGCTTCTTCTCCACTAGCGGCACAAGAAGTGCATGATTCTCTATCATGTTCCCCCTCCCCCTTTTGCCATTGCAGTAGATTTCAGCACTTGGGGTTCAGAGTTTAAAGGGAGCTCAAATTCAGAGCCACTATTAGTACTTCCTAAGAAAGGCAGCATGGTAACTTGGAGGCCAAAGACCTGACTTTCAAAACTTGACTCTGTCATTTATTAGCCACATGACCTTGGGGCAAGCTCACTCAATCCTTCCCAGTCTCAGCTTTTTCATCTAAAAGAAGGGGATAGTAATACTTACCTTGCCTACCTCACAAAGTTGTTATAAGAACAACAATTTGTAGTTTATAAACATGAGCTCTTAATCATATTACTAATTAGATAGGCTTTTGTGTGCTATCTTGTGAACCTAACCATCCTTTATGGTATTGTTTCTGTAGGAAAATACTTTGCAAGTACCATACGATCAATTTATAAGCAGACTTTTGGAACATAGCCTATTTTAAGTGGAAATTACCTGTTAAATTATTCTTACGACAGTGCTTAGTCACTTACTGACAATTGAAGAGGAGCAAGGAGCTAGAGAGGGGACTTCCAGTTCTAGGCTTCATGCCTTTTGGTGTGTGCTTATTTTCCTTGTGGAAATTTTATTGAAATGAATTCAAAATTAAAAAAAACCCTTAGGGTTAACTCTGCATTTGAATCCAGTTTCATATAAGTTACATTATTTATAATAGAAATATTATGCACACAGTTTAGCTCGAGTCTTGGGCTTGTCATTTTAATTTCTTTTTGCTGCCAAAATGTGATGGTTCAAATATCACTTGAGTTTCTGAGAAAAGGCTGGGTGACCTTATTTCAGCCTATGGTGAATTAAGCTATTTATTCAATTAGTGCACATGGTGTGCATGAAAATGGCCAGCTCCTTCCTGTACTTGGTCTCTCATTAGCATTAGTCCTGCTCAGTGCATAATTTTCACATGAACTACATAAAGTTAATGCAAAGAAGCAAGTCAGAGAGATACCAGTGCAAATTTTGGTAATAAACACCATTATAGGTAGCTTATTTCTAAAACCACTGAAAAAGTGGTTTCATTATTTTCTTGCCTGAATATGTTACTTATCTGATCAGAGGAACTATTTTTGCAAACCAGTATCGGGTTGGTTGATTCCATGATTTGGTCTCATCAAAATTTACTCAAAAAAGTAAGGCACTCCATCACTGTGTTTTCTCAAAAGCAAATACACACACACACACACACACACACACACACACACACACATACATACATGTTCTGTAAAATGAGCTGGAGAAGGAAATGGCAAACCGCACATAGTTGGACATAACTGAAAAATGATTGACCAACAATAACATATGTATATACAATCCTATGATTCTGTGACAATGAAGCCTCAAAACCATTTTCAAATCTTAAAAATTAAGGTCCTTCCCAACCTATGCCAACTTTTCTAGACTTCATTATCACAAAATCACAGGATCATAAATTTGAGTTCAATGGAAGCTTAAAGGTTATCTACTCCAATTCCTCATTTTACAATTAGGGAAACTGAGACCCAGAGAAATTAAATGACTTGACCAAGTCGCACAGACTGTAAGCCAGGATTTGAACCCCAGGTTCTAGAGGTCAAACTTCACCACTTTTCCTTTAAAATGAAGTGCCCAAATAAAATTGGTGAAAGAAAGGGGAAAAGTGCAAAGAAGAGTAATCCTTATTTTAGTTTGTAGTGCATATTTTTTGAACTGAATCAATGCTTAACCAGACTCAAAAAGTTAATTCATGAAGCTTTGTGAGTGTTTTTGTTTTTAAAACCATGATAGACCACAGAAGAATCAGAAACTTCTGGGGGGCAATCACAATATTTTATTAAAATATTTGCTTTTATTTACAAAAACAAAACCATTGACTATCCCCATCTCAACCCACAAAATTTTAAAACTTTGCATTGGATGATATAATAATAATGATAAATATTAAATACAAGATTATTAAGCAATTAATATTTGCAGGTCATTCAGAGGCAGAAAGACAAAAATCAGAACAGTCCCTGCCCTGAAAGTGCTTACATTCTACTGGACAATTAACTTTTTTTGATCCATTTTTTCCCCCTGAGGTCCCAACTAAGATTTCAAGCACTTTGTAATATCAGTAGATTTAGTACTGTATGGTGCTAAGGCTTAAGACAAATGGATCTGAATTGACCTTAGCAGTTAGAACTAAGAACAAATATTCACTCTTACAAATTTCCTTCTTCTGGCAGAGCTAAAAGTAGAAGATGAACATTGCTTTTGAGGATCACAACTTTTAGAGCCAGAAAGACCTTAGAGATTATTAGCTAGCTGAATTCCCTCAATTTTTAGATGAGGAAAACAGACCTAGACATGGGATTGATTTGCCCAAGATCACACAAATAGTACATGAAAGAGCCAGGATACAAACCTCCGTATACTCTGACTTCTGATAAGCTCTTGTAATATAAATTAAGTAATAAGTGTGCATACCCTCATTTTAGAGAAGATTTTGAGGTTGTACTGGCACCCAGGACATGGCTCATGGTAGCTATTTGACAGTCAAGTTTAGTGAAGCATTCGTTAATAGAAGGGATGTATTTCAGTGAGGTTTTTCCTTTAGTCACAAACTTCATGGTCAGATTTTAAAACAAAATACCAAATATTCCAGGTGAGGTATTCCTTCTTTTATTACCCTTCTGGTAAAAAGCTTCCTGGTTCTTTTGATCCTTCAGGGAGAAACTCCCCTCTCTTTTAGGATGGGACATTTTTCCAACTTCCCTTACCCCCAAACCCCCAATTCCAACTCCAGATCCAAAAAAAAGGAAAAAAAAACTGGCATTTTCTTCTTTATTTTTTAAGGCTTTATTTGCACAGCCAGTCTTCTCATATTTTTTCTTACAGATCAGACCAATTCTTTGTGACCACTTTTGCTTACTGGAATGTTTATGTGCTGATATTTGTTATATTATTGTATACAATATGATCCAGTAACACCAGTCTCCTGGTTGTTCCATGAACAAGATACTCCATGTCTTGACTCTGGGCATTTTCTCTGGCTGTTCCCCATGCTCTTCCTCCTCTGTTCTGACTATTGACCTCTCTGACTTCCTTTGAGCCCTGGTTAAGGGCAGCTAGGTGGTGCAGTGAATAGAGTATCTGGTGTGGAGTCAGGAAGAATTACCTTCCTAAATTCAAATTTGGTCTCAGACACAGCTTACTAGCTCTGTTACCCTGGGCAAATCACTTAACCCTGTTTGCCTCAGTTTCCTCATCTGGAGAAGTAAATGGCAAACTATTCCAGTATCTTTGCCAAGAAAACCCCAAAATGAGGTCACAAAGAGTTAGACACAACTCTAAATGATAAGAAAGAAAATCCTTCTTTTACTGGAAGCCTTCACCAACCCCTCTTAATTTTAATGCCTTCCCTCTGCTAATTATTTCTTATTTATTCTATTTATAGCTTTCTTTGTATATATGTGTTTGCATGTTGACTGCCCCATTAGATCGCAAGCTCCTTAAGCTTTTTTTTTTTGGTTTGTTTTTTGTTTTTGCCTCTTTTTGTTTCCCCATTGCTTAGCACAGGGCCTAGCACATAGTAGACACTTAACAAATATTGATTGATAGTTTAAGTATTACAGCCAATATGAGAAGTATGGGTCCCTAAAATTCTGGTGCCTAGATAACAAATTCTTTTTTTTTTTCTTTTTGCTTCTAAACAGTCCTAGATTGCCTTACTTTGGAATAAATGATTATGGACTGTAAGTCCATAGGATAAAGTTTGCCTGGTATTCTAGAAACCCCAAATAATCAACTCTAAGTGCTTAATCACTTTGTGAGAGCCACACACATATTTGGGGCTTACAGGAACCTGTTTTCTTTCTGCTTACACTGAGCCTGCTTATCTTATTGTTGGGTGAGTTCAGAATACTATTTACATTGTCCTTTCAATAGGCAGAGCCATAGTAATCTTCCTGTAGGAAGGGACACTGGGAAATTTTTTTTTCCAGACCTCCAGCTGGATTCCATATGTGGTTCAGGGTCTCTTGCAGAAAATGTTGCTAGGACCCAGAGGAATTTTACTGCACTGAATGTGATCTGTGAGTGTGGGTCATGAGCAGAGGACAAGCTCCTTAGTGAAAGAGGTAGAGAGTGAGTGCCTCAGTTTTTCCTGGCCTCAGTGATAGGTTTTTTAAGAGCACTTGGTACGTTAATGAGTACAGCTACATAAGAACTAAGTCAAAACAGTGTG